CCTTCAAGGATATATCAACATCAACCAACATGTTGATCGTCTTAACCCTTTGCTGCTCCTCACAATGCCGTCTTTCATCCATGATGTGCGTCCTCTGAATGCACTGCACCAAACCATGGTGTCATGTTCTCAACAACCAAATTTAAGGAAATGACAAGGACATAGAAGAAGACTTACTGCGGTTAGCATCTGCACCGAACCCTTGATCAACATGTCGCTTGAAATGTTTTACTCAGCAATGTCCAAAGGTAACAGCAATGCCTTTGATAAGTCAAAGGCCAAGTCGCTTGAGTAGATTGTGTTGTCCGATGTAGTGACTGCTCGACCGTTATGCTCTAAGGGAGGCACCCATTCTTCAACTGAGCCCTGCTCATTAGAACCCCCAACAACTTCTTTACCTTTGGACCTTTTCCTCTTTGAGACCCTATCAGCAGAAAGAGTAAAAGTAGCAATGAGAGGAGAAGGAGCAACCACATGCTTTTTTCTACCCTTAGACCTCTCAATCGACGGAGAAGGAACTCATGTGTCGACTATAAAAGTAGCCAGAGGTCCTCATCATCAGATCCAAAGACCAAGGCATTAAGATTGAGCTTTTGGCGGTGAGCCATTTCGTTTGCTAAGCCTGGCGATGGAGAGTAGCCTCTATTGAGTAATCCGCTTGATGAACAAACAATAGTAGAAGAGGAAGCTCTGGTGGTATGGCCAACTTGCTCTTCGGTTTCTATTTCAAGTAAGTCCCTCAAGAAGTCATTTACTTTGAGTTTCTGTTGGATGAGATATCTGTAAGTTCGCACATAGTTAAGCAAATATGGGGCCGACTGATCTTCGTACCTCAGTGCAACTTTGATGTCCCTCGGATGCTCTTTTTCTAGCCTCCTTTTTAGCTTCTTTAAACCTGCAACTAAGAACCAAAAAAAAAAAAAAAATTCACAAGCAATAAGGGAATGGACAAAAGGAAACTAAAACGAAGAATGACCTGGGTGGCCGTTCTCCCGTGGAACCCACTTTGATCGGACCACCTCCTCGACCGCAAACTCTTAATTCCCTCCGACTTTAAGGAAATTAGATCCATGTTTGTCATTATCGGGAAGTTCAAAGACAAGTTGGAGGTCCAATGACCGAACTTTGACATAATAGGTTTTGTCGCCTTTGTTATGAGATAAGGAATAGCAATGAAGGATATCCCAAATACCCAAGTCCAAGTCTAAGAGGTCGTTTAAGACCGAGACGCCATTTACCACTCTAAATGTGTTCATTGATATTTGCATTGATGTTAGTTCAAAATAAGAAAAGAATCGACACAACAAGGGGTTCAACGGAAACCTAACACCCCCCTCTACAATTGAGGCAATTGAAAAGGGCATTGTAGTGCTCGTACACGACCGATCCCCGTCCACCGCTGCCAATGTCAATGTGACATCATTAGGAATGTAATATCTTCGGCGGAACTCGTCCATTCCCGCTGGAGTGTCCATTAAATTCTGAAACTTACCCATGGGAGGTGCAATGTCCCACTGAACAACTACACTAAGGATAACTTGCAAGGTTGGAGGTACAACAGCCAACCGAGCAACTGTGTGCTAGACAACTCTCAATGTTACACCTAACCAAAACAGCAATGGTGAAAATGGAAAAGAAATACACGGTTCAATAACATACGATGCCGAAACCAAGTGGAACTCGATGGCGAGCGTCTCCGATGAAGCAATCCCACTGTGGCAACCAAGAGATAAAAATTGTGAGTTCACCGAGAAATTAAGAAACCACTGGAAACAGTGGTGAATAAACAGCTGCAATATAAAAATAAAAAAAGAGTAAAAAAAGCATGAAAAAGGTAATAGTGGTCTAAAGACTTACAAAACCAGTGTCAGCAATGTGAATCAACAAGCGACGATGGTGAACCCATTGCGAGAGAAGAAACACTGGTGGTGAAAGAGTGACTTTGGAGTAAAGGCACAAGAAATGGCGTTGAAAGGCCGTCAATACTGTCGGAGAAAATAAAAACTTCGAAGGAAATGGCAAAGCAAGGTAACAGGGGCAAAATGAGCAAGCCATAGGTGACGAGACGACGGTAAGATCACTCCTTCACCATAAAAAAAAGTACTGTTCGGGATGTCTGCGAAGCCTAAACCAACATGAAGTAAAGAGGAGATTGGTCTCTTTGACGTTGAATTTCTAGAGAAAGAACTAGAGGACAAGCTCTCAAATTTTGAAATGGCAATTAATTTCAAGAGAGAGGAAACGTAAGGATAAAACCAATATCAGAGATTCTATTCCAAAAATGGGTCATGGTGTTTCTAAAGTCAAAAGGTGAGGAAGTGAAGACATGGGAAAAATGGGTCTGGAAATTCAAATGTTTAAAGTAAGAAAGTGATGGATAAGATGGGTTTGCTTATTTTCAAAAAACTCTAAGATGTCTTGCTTTCACGTCACGTTGGTAGCCCTCAAACTAATCAAATATGGACGCGTGATGGCTCGACAGTCAGAGTGAGTACATTAGTTAGGGCCGAGCTCGAAGTCTAGCGACAAGGCCAAGATAACGACCAACCGAGCTGCGATGCTCATGGACAGGTCAACTGAAGCACTTTAGACAGAGCTAAAGGGTACATAAAACAATGACAACTAAGTGTGAAATCGGTCCAGCTCTAAACTTTTTAGGTGAGCCGAGCAAGGCATGTGAGTGGCCAAAGCTCCGTTAAGCGACTCAACCAAATCAGCGAGCAAACAGGTTGCTTCCACTCAATAAATTTAAATACAAGCCAAAGGGCAAATGAAGTGGGATAAAATTAACTAAGTCTTGGTGTTCGGCCCAAAGTCGGACCCATACCAGTGGGGAACCTAGAGGCTCGGCTCAATGACCAAACACTTGCTCCCGATCAAGGCAATCAAGGTAGCTCGGCCCAATCTGAAATGGACCAAGCAACATATTGGACAACCACTCCAAAGCGGGCCGAGCAACATGGTGGACCTCCTGGTTGGGCAGTCAACCACTCTGAAGTGGGTCAAGCAACATGTTGGACCTCCTAGTTAGACAACCACCCTGGAGTAGACCAACTTAAAGAAGGTCAATTCGCTGAAGATCTTTCTTGGGCTCACAAGAGACAAACAACTCAGCTCCTCTCCATTTTGTCTAAACAGAATGTGGAGACATGAAGGTGCAGAGGGACAAGGCGCAAACATGACAAAGCTGCATTTGAGTGTCAGGCGGAGTGGTCGTTCTCCTCCAATGAGAGACAACCACTAATGAGATAAACAAGACAGACTTGCACCCGAGTGTCAAGCAGAGTGGCCGTCCTCCAATAGAAGACGACCACGAATAAGACATATTGGACAAATGACAGTGAGAGAAGTTCTTGGAGGACAAGCAACTTTTTCTTATAAAATGTGAGCACTATTCACCCTAAAGGGATCTGAAATCCACACACTTAACATATATACACTCTTTGTATTCTCTCTTCTTCCTTTTCCTTAGTCCCTGACTTTACTATCGGAGGGGTTTCCAACCAAACTTTGGTCGGGCAACCTCACCGTTTGTTACTCTGTACAGATCTTCAATTCCCAAAGCACGCTATTCATCCACGAAATTCAACCCTTCTTCATAGTGCGGAAATCACTCCCGGAAAATTATTTTTAATAAGGGAAAACAACTAGAATTATTATAGATGGCATGAACACACATAAAGGCTAGGTTTGTTTCGCGATTTGAGTGGTCAGATTAAACTATCATAATTTTAAATTCCACCTATAGCATAGTTGATAGTAAAATGAAAGGACAGATTGATAGTCCAAGAGGTTTAGTAATTCCCCTCAATAAGGGATTAACTTGGTTGAATTTTGGATAAAATTAGAAAAATAGTAAAGGAATTAAGTCTATTTTATATAAAAATTTTGTTTTTTTAATTTTATTTTTCTCACCAAGTGCACCTATTTGTTTTAATTTTTTTAATATAAAAATAATTTATTTATTTATTTTATATAAAAATAATTTAACAATCTCATCATTAACTATCTCTCATACTATTATAAAAACAAACACACTTTTATTTAATCTCTTCGCTAACAATCCACACATTAACAATCTCTTCACTAACCATTTTATCATTAACAATCTTATTTAACCAAATCTACCGAACAAACATTACCAAAATGTCTAATTTTATCATGGCAAAAGCAGTTGAACAAAGAAACAAAAAAGTCATAATGACCTTGTTTAAAAAGTTAACTATTGTAATAAACTATTTGATTTTTTTTATTATTTTAGTTTGATTAAAAAATTTTGTATTTAAAAAGTTAGCCGAATTTTTTTTATAGTTGATTTGATAATTATAAAAGAAAAAATAAAATAATTATAGATTAGGTTTGACATTTTAATATCATTTGGCATGAAAGTTGATTTGACTTTTTGGCTAAATTATCACAAAAAACAAAATATGTTAAAAAATTAATAAGACAAAATGTCATATTTAAACTATAATCATTTCATTTTTTCTCTCACAAAAATTAAAAAAAAAAATTAATCCAAACAAACTTTTTAACCAGGACTTAAAATAGTCAAAAAGTTAAAAAGCCAACCCGACTTTCCAAATGAAGCCTATTGACTATTTTAACATATTTTGGGTGCGTTTGGTTTGGTTTGGTTTTGAGAGATAAATTTTCAAAAAAAAATTTAGGAAAAAAGTTTGAAATTTTTTTTCGCTTGTTTGGTTGTATATTTTGAAAATAGTTTTGAAGTATGGAATGATTTGATATTTTGTTGTAGTTGAGTAGATGTTTATGAGAGAACAAGTGATTAAGAAGAAGAGAGGAGAAAGAAAATATAATTGATTGAAATGTAGGAGAGAAAAAGTGATTAAAAATTTCCATTCAAACAAAATTTAAAAAAAAAAATTCAAAAATTGTGTTTTGAGAGTTAAACCAAACAAGGCCTTTATCTTTTAGTGAGCTATTCTAGGCCTCGTTTGGGATGCTTTTGTTTTAGCCAAAAAGTCAAAAAGTTACTAAAAAAGCCAAAAAGTCACCCTAAAAACCTATATACACTAGCTGCACGTGAAAGCTGCCAGCTGTAGTGTAAAATGACCGTTTTGCCCCTCTTTCATTTTGTTTATCTCGTTTTCACCCTTGCCTTTATGTCAAACATTGATGGGGATATTAGCAGACCTACTCTCCCACAGGGTGTAGTAGCTACGGTTGTGTAGCTACATCAAACGGTGAAGATGAAGATGACCCTTCGTTCAAGGCTGGATCATAGTAGAAACTCTGATCTGAAGAGAAAGAGGAACCAAGAGACGACGATAGTCCGCCAAGGCAAACGGAAAAGCAGTCCCTCCTCCGACGATCCCCCCAACTGCAGGTATGCTCTCTCTCTCTCTCTCTCTCTCTCTCTCTTCAGCCTCTCTTGTTTCTATTTCGCTATGGCTTCTCAACCGTCGTACGCTCTGTTTGGTTTGTATGTATGTATGAACTCTCTCTCTCTCTCTCTCTCTCTCTCGCTCTCTCTGTCTGTGTGTGTGTGTCTGTCGCTCTGTCTGACCATTTTTGTTTTCCAATTTGTCTTCAACATTCGAGTTGGGTAAATTTTTTCAGAAACTGGCCTATTATGTTGGGGGTTTTAGGGTTTCTTTCACATACCGGAAATAGACAATATTGCGGGTTGTTCGTTGGTGGGGGGGTGTGGATCTCATAACCATGACTTCTCTGCTCTGGTTTTTGTATATGTGAACAGTCTACCCTCTCTTCCTCTCGCTCTCTATTTGTCTTTGTCACTGTGTGTGTGCATCAACCGTTGCCTATTTCATACGCATTATGTGTTCTAAAACCAAAAATTACAACGCTTTTTTTGGGGGGATTAACAATAAAGTCCCTTAAATACGATGAAGTATTATGATTAATTTTCCCCTAACAAGAAATCCTCCTAAATAGGACGAATTAGCCTGTATTAATAGAACAAGTTGGAAGTATTCTGTTTGTCTCTGTGGTTATAATTGTGCAATACGTTGACATGAAATTTTCATTTATACTATTCCTATAAATTTGGTGAAATTAGCTACAAATGCCACCATTGTGATTTCTACGAACACATCACAATAAAGTTGGTGAATAATTGGTCATTTTCTTTTGTTTATCTGGCAGTCTGGTTGTCCCTGTTAATCTTTTGAGTAAGGTGGATTCAATCCCTATAATGAAAAAGGAGGGGGGAGAAAAAAGAAAATTTGTCACTAGAAAACAACGAATCATACGAGTTTCCACAACAAACTCATCTTCCATATGTCTCAATGTTTAAACAATGTACTTCAGCAAAAGATTTTTAATCTGTTCAAGGTAATGTTGATTTTTATGTGTTTAAAATTTTCACAAATGTTTAATCTGTTTCAAATTTTTAAATTGTTTAAGATTTCTGTTTAAGGTCATCTGTTTAAGGTAAGGTAATGTATGCATTTGATGGAGCTATATTTTTAGGTAATCTGTTTGCATGCGTTTAAGATTTTTAATCTGTTTAAGGTTATCTGTTTAAGGTAAGGTCATGAAGCTGTATTTTAAATTCACAAAATAGTTTAAAGGTCTTCATTTTTCTGCTTGACGCTTTCTTATTTTTCATTTTTCTGCTTCACGCTTGCCTCATAGTGTTCATGGAAATGTGATACGATTGTTAGAAAGTGCTAAATAGATGGAACATAGACATGAATTCAGTAGCTGTATAACTGTGAAGTTGGTGAGCATGATTTTCATGATCAGGATGTTTGTGTAACATCTATTCAAGTACTTTTTGTAGATCTTTATGCATATACATATGCATGAATATAGTCTATTTCTTTCTAATCTAATACACATGTACATATATATATATGTGAATGTGCATATGTTTTAACATGACATAACATTCTATTTCTTTCTAATCTAATACACAAGTTTGTAGTTTCAAAAAAATCCTGGTATGAGTTTGACATTCCCTTGAGTTGCTTCAGTCTTTAGTAATCGCCATGTTGGTTGATGCAAACCATTGTGCTGCTTGGTACATAGTTGCCTTAATATATTGACCTCAAAATCACGTTGGCTTTGCTTAACTACTGTATTTCCTGACAAATATTAGTTGGCTTCTTGTGTTTATGCCTTAATTAACATTGTCCTAAATACAATAAAACTGCTAATCCAAGGATGACTTTGACTTGTAATGCTATCAATATATGGTTAATGCTGTGGTGGGATCTTACGTTATTATGTTGCCTTCATACCTACCTAGTTTTTTTAGACTACAAATTTTAAATAGACGCCTCAGCACAATGTTTCCTAAAGTGATAGATTACTTGCATCAGTATGTCTGCATGGTCATTCCAGCGTGATGAATGGTTGTCTTTCTGCATGGTAATTGATTGAGGATTTTTCATTTCTCCCATTTCAAAGATGTTAATTGCATCAGTATGTGTGCATGGCTATCAAAGAGGTTTCTTCTGATGTGTGTCATGTGCTATTTTGGTATTATTGGTTTGCCATGATTCTGTTTTTTTTTTTTTTTACTTTCATTTTCAAGCTCTTTGCTTGTTGTATGGTGAATCATGATTAATATTTTAATTTCTCGATTTTAAATCTGTCATAACAAAGCACAAGTGTAAATCATGTTCAAATTATGAAAGGCAAGGAAAAGTCTGAGACACTTGAAAACTCAATCAACTTATAAAGTACTGACACTTCAAAATAGATGTGTTTGTGTCAATGTATGGGGCACCAACATGCTAGGGATATATCTCTGTGTTGGACACGTCACGTGGAATGAATTATTTATTTTTTTTAACTAGACTATTCACAGATACGTGTGTCCTATGTTTAAACATGCCTCAAATCATATTTGTGATATTTTTTATATGATTTAGAAAGATGCATTAAGATCAAACTAAAATATATAAAAACAAAGAAAGGAAACTGAGAAAGTAAAAATAGACCTATATACATTAATGCCTTTTATATCAGTGTCTCCTAAATTTATATTTATATACATAGCAATGGAAATTTAAAAAAAAAAAAACAAAAAGATTTTTTTTGCTGTATTTCTGTCTTGTCTTGTCGGTATCTTAGTTTTTTACAAAATTCCCGCCTCTGCCTCTGCGCTTCTTAGCATTCAACCACTTGCACATAAATGACTAGGGAAGCAATCCTATTCAAAATGGAAGAATATATGTTCCCTTTTGTAAATATAATGTTGTGTTTTGTTTACACAATACACTTATCCCATACCATAAGTGTCACACCCGTTTACCTGTTTTGTTGTGCCTGTCATGTCATCGAATCACACATTCATAGAGTTCATGGCCTCGTTTATGTCTACTGCGACATCAACCCAACCAGGCCCTATGTGTGCTTGTGGGTACGGGCATTGTGTGATCAAGATTTCTCGGTCCGCGAAAAATCCAGGACGTGCGTACTACCAATGCCCTCGTGGAGTGGTGAGTACAAGCACCTTCACCTTCTTTGGGATTATTACCTTGTCAGATCGTCACTAATAATTTCAAAACTTTTTTTAACCTCAGCCATGTGTCAATTGGATTGGGTGGTGTGACGAATATGGCCGACAAAAAGTACTGACACTTCAAAATAGATGTGTTTGTGTCAATGTATGGGGCACCAACATGCTAGGGATACATCTCTGTGTTGGACACGTCACGTGGAATGACTTATTTCTTTTTTTTAACTACACAGTTCATAGATACATGTGTCCTATGTTTAAACATGCCTCAAATCATATTTGTGATATTTTTTATATGATTTAGAAAGATGCATTAAGATCAAACTAAAATATATAAAAACAAAGAAAGGAAACTGAGAAAGTAAAAATAGACCTATATACATTAATGCCTTTTATATCAGTGTCTCCTAAATTTATATTTATATACATAGCAAATTTAAAAAAACAAAAAAACAAAAAGATTTTTTTTGCTGTATTTCTGTCTTGTCTTGTCGGTATCTTAGTTTTTTACAAAATTCCCGCCTCTGCCTCTGCGCTTCTTAGTATTCAACCACTTGCACATAAATGACTAGGGAAGCAATCCTATTCAAAATGGAAGAATATATGTTCCCTTTTGTAAATATAATGTTGTGTTTTGTTTACACAATACACTTATCCCGTACCGTAAGTGTCACTCCCGTTTACCTATTTTGTTGTGCTTGTCATGTCATCGAACACGTCATCACAGACTACATGGCCTCGTTTATGTCCACTGCGATATCAACACAACCAGGCCCTATGTGTGCTTGTGGGTACGGGCATTGTGTGGTCAAGATTTCTTGGTCCGCCAAAAATCCAGGACGTGCGTACTACCAATGCCCTTGTGGAGTGGTGAGTACAAGCACCTTCACCTTCTTTGGGATTATTACCTTGTCAAATCGTCACTAATAATTTCATAACTTTTTTTACCTCAGCCATGTGTCAATTGGATTGGGTGATGTGACGAATATGGCCGACAAACGGCTGCTGAGAATGACAGAGACAATGTTCGTCGTTTTGAGACGCATTTGATTGACATTGAACATAGTCTGCGTGTACTTAAAGTTAGGGGTGCAACTCGGGCGGGTTCGGTCGGGTTGGGGGTCTACCCAAGCCCGATCCGAATTGTATTTGGCAGTGCCCAAGCCCGCCCAAGCCCGACCATGAACCCGAACATTGCTGCCCAAGCCCGGCCCAAGCTTTGTATTTTGAACTCGGGTTAGCCCGAATTGCCCGAGTCCAGAAACCTGTAGGTAAATTTGTTTTGAAACCTGTAGGTAGAATTGAGAATTAACAAAGAATTGAGAATTATTCAAAGTTATTTTCTAGTCACCAAATGAGAAACCTGTAGGTAGAAACCCTAAAGATGTAGCCATAACCTTCTATTTTTCCCTTTAATTAGAGGATTACAAAATAATTTCGAAGCAACCAGAATAATTCAAAGTTCAATTAAATATAAGTGAAGCACAGTGAACCCAACTTCCCTTTAATTAGAGGTTTCTATTAATCAATAACTGGTAGGAGCAAAACAATACATCCATTAGAGCAGACTAGCAAAACCCAAAAGATAAAAGGCCAACCAAAAGATAAACCCACGCCTCTCAACCAAAAGATATATATATATATTTATATATAAATCAGTTACATATTCCTGATGCAAGAACAAAGAAGAAGGAAGCTTACCCAAGACGGATCTACCAGGGCTGAAGAAGGAGGAAGTGAATGAAGGTGGAGATCGAGGACGATAGGGTTTTGCCTCTGCCGTTCTTCAAAGTTCTTCAAAGTTGAACAAAAAATCAAATGAGTCTGTGAGAGAGAGATAAGGTAGATAGATAGGGTTTCTTTAGATTTAATCTAAGGGTAGACATAAACGATGCTAATCTAATGGTGGAAGACTAATCAAAAAAATAATAATAATAAAAATTAAGACTAACTCTTTTACTTAATTTATATATATTATATAATTTATATAATATATTAAATTCAATTCGGGTTCGGGTTGCTCGGGTTGCTCGGGTTAGCCATTGGTTCTGCCCAAGCCCGGCCCGAATTACAATTCGGGCATCAAAAATCTGCCCAGGCCCGTCCAGATTACAAGATATAGTTGCCCAAGCCCTAAAAAAACTCGAGCTGGGCTCGGGTTGCTCGGGTTAAGCCCACCCGAGTTGCACCCCTACTTAAAGTTGTCACATGTTTTTTGTTCATCATCGTCGCTATCTTGTTATTCCGTATGTAATATATGTATCAGTGTTTAGATGGTTACTATACTATGGTTTCCGTATGTGATATATGTATCCGCGTGTTGCTTGTTACCGTACTATGCTTTCCTTATGTAATATATTACTTATCCGTGTCATTTTACTATTGCATATGTGTTGGACAAACATAATAACATATGGTTAACACAACTACAAGTAATGCACACAACAAACTAATAAGTAATGCAAATTATAATGTTCTATAGTCGCATGGCTTCAACTCGATCCGGCTCTCGTACCCCTTCCGGGAAAGGGAATGGCCCAAAACCTTATCACAAAGCCAATTGGGACTGGGAGGACACACGTATCTACTTGGAACTTGTTGTCAAGGAAATAGACGCAGGTAACAGGCCGCACATGTCAATAAATCCGAATGGGTACCGGTCTTTGGCTAAGACTTTTGAGGCAACAACTGGGTTGACACATAGCATGAAACAACTGAAAAATAGGTACAACCAACTAAAGGCAGAGTGGCGTGCATGGTCGAAGCTAATGGATAGCAGCAAAGGCCCCACTGGAATTGGGTTCGACCAAGAGACTGGCTTGATCAATGCGTCGGATGAATGGTGGGCTACAATGGAGAAGGTAACGACTTGAACTCATGTTTACATAATTTTGTGTTTCATAATGTCGTTGAAATTGAATCTGCTGCAATACAAGTATTCATAGAGACATGTTGAATTCAAATACATTTGATTATACGTCTCAAGTAGGCATACCAAACAAGACTATTTACATCTGAAGTGCTAAACTGCATAATTTCAGGAACCTCGTACCAGATATATGTACAGTTCAATGTTGATTGAGGGAATATAATGATGCTCACTTTGTGGTTACACCAGTTTTGGCATGACATGTCATGTGTTTTTTGTAAAACCTTTGTTTGATCTTCTTGAAAACTTTCCTCAGTATCTCAGTAATGTGGAAATGTATAATTGTCAAGAGTTGATTTCACTTTTTACTTTGTCGTTGCCTAGACCGTCTCAGATTTCTACCTTAATTTTTCTTTCACAATTGGATCTATCATCACGTGTTTTTTTGTTTCACTGTTTTCCCCATTTTCTGTCATTGATGTAATGAACTCCAGCAATGTGTAATGAATGATGACAAGATATGCTTCTATTTTTAGAAGCCTATACTGTAAGATCCTGGGAATTACAATTTCACTTCGCTATCATATAATAATCTGTCCAAAAAAATAATAATCTGTTACAATAATCTGTCCAATAAAATTTTCCTGGACAAATTATATGAACCCTTATCTGTCCACTAGAACCCTCTTATATCGCCATGTTGGTTTTGTTGGTTCTTCTTTGGGGGGGGTTTAGGCCGTCGTCTCATCTTGGTTTGTCTCATTTCTAGATTTGGTAAATGGGTTATCTGAGAATTCAGAATAGTATTGATGGTTTTGACACTTTGAATTATGGGTTTTATTAATTTGTTAGTTTTTAGGAGTTGAAACAGCTGGGTTTTAAGTATTTGTCACTTTGTGGGATTGCGTATATGCAATTTTGATCATTTCTGCGGATTAGATCTTCCATTAGGTATGCCCTATTATGAATATTATTTTTACATTGCTGTGTTGAACATTGTTCCTGGACAGATTATATCAAAAATATGTCTGGACAGATTACATCAAAAATATGTCTAGACAGATTATATTCCTGGACAGATTATATCAAAATATGTCTAGACAGATTATAACAGATTGTATCAGATTTGATTTAATAAAATTATATTACCTGTTAGCAATATGTAATCATAGAATTACCCAGATAGTTGGACAGATCTGTTATTGGGCAGGACTGTCCAGACAAATCTGTTGTTCATAATGCCTGATTAATACTTGCTAAATGTTGGTAGTTTAAAATTTTTTTGGTTCATTCATAATGCACAGATTTCCAGATTCATAAGTTATTCATTTTGGTAATGGTGTACTCCCATTGTATTGTATTACAGGTTGACAAAGAGTGTTGCAAGCTTAGAACAAAGAGGTTGGATCATGAGGGAATTAATGCGTCGTGTTTTCACGGGGGCTGCGGCAACGGGAAAAAATGCTTGGACGCCTGGTGAGATGCGGAACCAGCTGGAGGTGGAAGGGGAGTCCGATAGTGCAGACTTCTCTACGGACAGCAACGAATTGGGTGCCTCTGAAACTGCAAACTTGATGAAATCTGCAAACATTACCGCATCCGATAGTGGCAGCAAAAAGAGGCACTCATCTGTCACAGCCGTGCAGAAGAAGCGAATCACCGGGGCAGAAGCATTGGCAACAAGCATGGATGATTTGGTGAATTTGGTGAAGACACAAAGTAAGGAACTCACTGTTAACCATGTTGTCGGTGGACAAAGTGTCACTATGGCCGAAGCTGTCGGACGTCTTTATGAAATTCAAGGACTTGAACAAACTAATCCACTGCTCCATTTCGATATTTCCCTTGTGGAGGTGCCCAATAATAGGGAGATGGTTATGAGTATTCCTTCCGATGAAGGCATTATCGGCTGGCTCCAGGTGAAGCAACAAGACAAAGAGAGGACGACAGCAGTTCCAACTCTTGCAAGCATATTGCGCAATCAAGGACTTCGTTTCTAACTATGCTTTGTGTTGGACTTCTTATGCGTTATGTGTTGGACTTCTTTTCGCTTATGCGTTGGACTTCGCTTATATTTGCTAAAGGGCTGCGTTTTAATGAAATGCTTTGTGTTGGACTTCTTTTCGCTTATGTTCATTTTGTATTTGCTAATGACATGATGTTTTCAACTATGCTTTGTAAGGAGAATTGGTAAGGAGATGGTTATGCTATTCCTTTTCTTTGCCTGGTTTTCTAATTATGGATGTGCATTGGTTGGGTATTGGCTATGGATTTTACAATTTTAAATTTCAATAAACCATGAATCTGATTACACTCTTCCAATTTGCAGCTTCATAGTTATGTAAACAGTGGTTGTAAATCAGTTGTACTGGACCATTTGAACAAAAGCGTTGCTACTTGTAGAAAGACATGTCCAGTTTACTGAAGCCTTCAACTTAAAAACTGGAAGTTAGACCCTTTGTAAGGTACTAAAAAAATAAAATAATTTAAGTTATTATTTTTGTATATTTTAATTTAACATTGTGTTTTTGTATATCTCATTGCAATTTTTGTATTACTTATTAGTCAGAAAAAGGAAAAAAAAATTGCTTATTTATACATCAAGTAAATGTCTTCACGATTTCACCATTGCTAACAGAACTACTTTAATACAATGGAAGGTCTCAGAAGAATTTATGCAAATGAAATAAATTGATTATTTATGCATAATACTCCTGTTATTGACAGCCTTTACAGTTGACCAAACAAAAATTAATTTTTGCATGTTTAATTTTGGCAGAGTAGTAGTCTGTCATGTTATGCTTCTGATTTTATTTGAAGTTATGTGATTTAGGCATGGAAAGCGACGATGACACCGATGCACGGATGCAGGAAATGTGTGATGATGTCGCGGCGCTCGCAATCGAGTGGCAGGCTGAAATGAATAATAATTATGTTGAAGCGTACAGAATTGCCTCCGACTACAACAGGGCGCGCATGCTTAAAGTTCCATGTCGGACGTCCATCTTGACGGGGAGGGCATGGATTTTGGAAATGTATAATGGACACAGTGGCAGATCTCGCTATGAACTGTGCATGCCCAAAGTCGTTTTTACCCGTTTATGTGCCACACTAGTGAATGACTTCGGGTTGCATGTACCTGAGCAGGACCACGGCTTGCACGTTGAAGAGAGTGTTGCAATCTTCATTCATGTTCTAAAAAACTTGCCAAACCGTGAGCTTCAAGAAAGATTCCAACTAGGAATGGCAACGGGCCGGGGCGGGGCCGGGGACTACACTCCCCGTCCTCGATCCCCGAAGGCTCAAAAATCCCCGTCCCCGCCCCCGATCCCCGGTAGGGGAACCCATCAACTCCCCGTCCCCGTCCCCTAACGGGGATCGGGTTTCCCCGACCCCGAAAAATCCCCGAGCTTTTTTTTGAATTTTGTTCAACACAACAACAAATCAATATAATCACTATGTTTTGTCATGAACAACAAATCAATGTATACACAGATCAGGCACAGATTTAAATTTAAAAAAAAAAATTAATGTGAAAGAAAAATCTGTTTTTAACAACAATATGTTTTCATCATCATCAATAAATCAATATATGTATACAGATCAGATCACACAGAGATTTAAATTTTTAAAAAAAATTAATCTGAAAAAAAATCTGATTTCAACAACAATACCAGAGAGAGATCTGAGTGCACAGATCATATCACAGAGAGAAAGAGAGAGAGAGAGAGACATAATAGATCTGAGTTCAGATCTAACAGATTTGGGCGCGAGATTGACAATCGCTGGTTGTGGCAGTGGGTTCGGTGGTGGTGACAGAGAGACAGAGCTTCTGAGGCAGTGGCAGTGGCGGTGGCGGTGGCGGTGGCCGACGGTAGTAGTGGTGTCGGGGCTGAGATGAGAGTCGGGGCTAAGTTGAGAACGAGAGTTGACAGAGAGAAGAAACGAAAGTTGAAAGAGAGTGAATGAGAGAAGAACGAGAAACAGAGAGTTGAGAGAGTGAGAAAGAGACGAATGAGGGTGAGAGAGTGAAAGAGTGAGATGAAAGTCAGAGAGTGAGAGAATAGAGATGTATGTAAGAGATATATAATAATATAATAATAATATGAAAGAGATGTATAATAATATAATAATAATACAACTAATAGTATATACGCGGGGAAGCTTCGGGGAACTTTCGGGACGGGGCCGGGCCAGGGCCAAGGCCGGGGCCAAGAAATTAATCCCCGTCCCCGGCCCGAAAATCATCGGGGATGTGTTTTTTAATACCAGCCCCGGCCCTATGGGAAATAATTTTCGAGAAAAAACCTATTTATCGGGACGGGGCGGTCCGGGTCCCCATCGGGCCGGGTTAATATTGCCATCCCTAATTCCAACACTCCGGTGAAACAATATCACGCCATTTTTATAATGTTCTGAAAGTAATGAAAAAGTTTACCATCACGCACTGTCGGCCGCCCACAGATTTCCAAAATAGGAGGGATCCCCACCTGCAGACCCAACCACAGTATTTGCTGTTTAAGGTGCGAAAAAAATGCAACAATTCGAGTTTTTTTTCCGCAAATTCTACGAAGATGTGACTTCAAAAAATTGCGCGACTATAATGCATGTCATCATGGTACTAATACGTTGCCTACTTGTTCGAATTGTGTAGGATTGTTTAGGTGCCTTGGATGGGACACACGTGCCAGTGTGCATAAAGGAGTCGGAAGCAGCCTCGTATTTTAGCCGAAAGGGTTGCCACACTCAAAATATTTTGACAGTGTGTGATTTCAATATGTGTTTCGTCTTTGTGTCATGTGGTTGGGAGGGTAGCATGCGTGACAGCCGGATTTTAAACATTGTCACCGAGGATCCGCAATATAATTTTCCAACTGCAGTGGATGGCACGCACGCACAGTTTATTTGTTCAATGCCATAACTTGTTAAATTTGTTTGCCCACACGTGAAACAAATATGTATTAATATGTACACATTCACAGGTCGCTATTATCTAGTGGATAGTGGATACAGTAATAAGAAGGGATTTCTCGCACCATATAAGGGCAACCACTATCACCAACCACACTTTCAACGTCACAAGTCGAGGAATCGTGATGAGTTGTTCAACCGTGCCCACTCTTCATTGCGGAGTGTGATTAAGCGAACATTTGGCGCTTGGAAGTCGCGGTGGAGATTCTTGCACAACATGCCTCGGTTTGACTTTCGTAGAGTCCAGGTGCCGTTGGTGGTTGCATCTATGGCATTACACAATTTCATACGCAGAAACTGCGAGGATGATGCGACCATTGCTGCTATCAAAAATGCAGCGGAGTACACGTATGCCGATATTCCAGATCGCGTAGATTTGGCTGCCCTAGACGAAGCCGTCGTGGCTACGGACGTGGACGTTGAAATGGCAGAACTGCGTCATCGGATAAGGGCTGAGTTATACCAAATTCGGCGCAATGGTAGGTAGTCGGACAGTATTGTTTACCATGACTGCTTTTAAATGTTTTCCGTAGTATGTGTTTTGTGAAAACCGTCACTAATGTCTTGTTTTGTACTTTTGTATGCATAACGTACAAAACTGTTTAGATATTTGAAGATGTACGAATTTAAAAAAAAAAACTTTCGAAATCGTCGTACTTTGCATGTGTGTATGGTTAATGCAAAATCCCTACTTCACGGATTGTCATAACGAATTTCGTCACACATATTACATGCATTAACTGTAAAGTCTATAATTGTGCCCAATTACATCACGTAAAAAACATGGCACAAAATTGTCTTCAACCAACTAAAATAAAAATCAGTATTTCAAAAATAAAATAAAAAAATTAATGTATCTGAAAAATCTTCAAATAAACTACTTTCAATATTGCAAATTGACAATAATTAAAATTTTATTTTTCAAGTTTCATCTATAACACCACAAACATTACCAACAAAAGTGTCAACGTTATTCATTACGAAATTTGTTTTCGAAAATGTTGTGGACATCAAAAAAATTACCATGTGTGTGGACCAGACACTTATGTCAAATTTTTTTTAAAAAAAAAAATTGAAAATTTACCAAGTTTACAAAATTGAGAATTTTTGAAAGTATGGGTGTGTGTGGTTTGGTTTTGAGAGATAAATTTATAAAAAAAGAAAAAAAAAATTAGAGAAAGCATTTACAAATTTTTTTGGTTTGCTTGGTTGTATATTTTAGAAATAGTTTCCCATTGTGGGAATTTAAAAAGATTGTATATTAATCTGTACTTGAGTGGATGTGTGTGAGAGACAAAAGTGATTCGGAAGGAAAGCGGAGAAAAAAAAAATTATTGATTTATGTGTAAGACATAGAAAATGATTTTGAATTTTTTTTTCAAAACCAGTAAACCAAATAATATTTGTAGATTATTTCCCCTACATTTCTTTTCCAATTTTGAACCAAACAAGGCCTACATGTTGCATTTGTGCTGGTGTCAAAATCCTGAAATTAAAAAAAAAAACAAAAACCCAAAAAAAAAGAACAAAAAAAAAAAATTAATCAAGCAATACATCACAATAGAAACCCAGGAATCTGATTTTCCAATTACATATGTGGCCACGTGTGATACTTTGACATTGGTTGCACATGAGTCAAAAAATGTACAGTACATTGTCATATAAAAAAATAAAAAAAATTAAATATTGGTCAAAAGTTCCAACAGGCAGCTACAACGGACAGTAGCTGCATCTGTCTCCATTTCCCAGGCTTCGATTTCCATGCAAGGGCAAAAATGTCAAGTTTCAAACTTTCATTTTTTTATATTATTTCTTTATACATTTTTTTTTGTAAAAAGTCAAAAAGTTCATCCCAAACAACTTAATTTTTTTTAGCTCATATTTTAACCAAATAGCCAAAAAATTACTAAATTAGCATGTTCCCAAGCGAGGCCGTTCAAATTTTTTCCAAACAAGGCCAAATTATGATATTATTTTATAAGTTTAATTTTATATGAAAAACAGCACGTAAAGGGCAAAAATCAATTAATTCCCCCGAAATCCAAATAGAGAGAGTAATGCAGAAGGCAGAGACAAAATTTCACCCTTCAAGAAAGCATATTATAATTTTACCCACTAGAGAAAAGAAAAAACTGTCTAATATATGAACATGCTATGAATAAATAGTGTCCTAAACGGTTTCAGTGGCACTTACAACGCAATTAACAAACCTAGAAACGCCTCCGCATGCGCTTCACGTTGGCGTTTGCAGATTCCGCGACAGCCCCATCTGCTGCCTGATCTTGCCCTAAGATGCTATTGGAACACCGTTTCCTATTTAACTGCAGACTTGAGTTCTCATCCACCCCTGCAACAGTCTCCAACAGCTCAGACAACAAGGATGGGCAGCTCTCTTCTAAGGACTTAAATCCTTCCGACTGCATAAACACTGCAAAACATAAAAAGGAAATTATTTAAAGATCCATTTAAAACAGAAAATCTAAGTGCACAGATAATTACGTGAGACAATGTGGGTCCCACACATTGGTAGACCCCACATGTGCGGACCAACCCTTTGTCTCGCGTCTCTGTATGAAAATCTTCTATGTTCATAGGACAGCTTTGTCTACATAAAAGGAACAATTACACAAGAATGAAGACTACACAGATGAATTAGAAATTCTATTTTTCATCATAACAAGATGTCCTAGAGAAAATAACCAAAAAAGAAAAAAGAAATTATTTTAGAAAGAAGACATCTGAGAAATATGAAACTCATAATGAATAGAACAGGAAATAGAATGGTTACGCTAATGCATCAATTTTGTTGTTCGAAGACAAAATATAAAAGCCTCAAATATATTAAAGGTCACCAAACAAGCATCAATAAATTCCTAGTTATATTCACACACCTAGAAAACATATAAGAAATCAGCCACAAGCAAAAGTGCGTTTCATGATTACATAACAACAAAAGATAAGATTACACAGTGATATGAATATCACCTCTTCTCTTTTTTTATGGTAAGCAAGCATTTTATAACCAAAAAAGAGAATAACACATAACCGCAAATACACATAACACAATAGGGCATACAATATCATAGAGAAAAACATAAGACCCACCCTGGCCTAAGCAAGGAAACAAACACGCCTTAAAAGGCAACTCGCATACATGATACCTGCTGGCATAAAAAATCAAACATTATAGCCAGCAAACAAAGAAAACACCCATGCCACATGGCATCTCATAAACGAGTACTAAGTTAGATTAGGAAATACACCATACTCAGATCGTACCATTGGCAGCATACTTTACGCGCTGTACCATATTAAAGCCCAAACAATAACGCCCAAAGCAAATCAATACTGCCATGTAATTTGAACATTAGTCAGCACCAGTTAGAAATTTCACGTCTTGGTGGTGAGAAAAATAGCTATAACACATGGTCATGAGAAAAATAGCTATAACAAATAAAGACCAGAAGTGCAAGGGAAAACTCCAGCCCATGAGCAATTAAACCATCTCAAATTTCCCTGAGAGAAGCACATGCATGCTCCAAATTATTTCTGGTCAGAAGGAAAGTGAGTCAGTCAGACAAGATAAAACATCTCTGCCTTATGCAACGCGGCAGCCGCAACTGGAAAGCAGACACCTTTAACCCCACGAATGCAAGACAGGAAGGCCAATGAAAAAAAGAGGCAGCCTACTCCCAAACTTCTCTCCCCATAGAAATCAGATCACCACTTGAACAAACAAGATAGAAACACCTTAGATATGGTAGCGGTACATTCATGCTTTCTGATAGGTGGCTCACTCTCCTTACTTCAACAACAAGGGATAGATGGCTCAACCTCCTTCCTTTGACAATTCAAAAGTTTATCAACTAGCAATTGCAGGCATGACCAGACCTTGGGGGCCATCATCAGGTCGTAGTGGGTAGATATGTTATACCTCAAGAGTGGTACCAAGGATCTGCAGTGGTTACGTATTAAGAATACAAAGTCACATATCCTGGTTACTGCTGAATTGTCATCTTGCTGAGGTCTCTCTCTCTCTCTCTAATACAATTGAGGTGGAGGTCCCCACTAAAGAGTGGGGACAAGGAACCTTGACAAATGCTCAACTCTAGCCTTTAAGTCACAAATCGTCCTTTGGTGATACCTTAATAGCACAAACCGAGGGTTGAGATATAGAAGTTTCTAAGGTTGGGAGTGCCTATGGGAGCATGTATATATTTTACATACTCCCTCCATCCCATATTATTTGTCCATCTTTCCTTTTTTGGATGTCCCAAAATATTTGTCCATTTTGAAGAGTCAAAACATAAAACTCTAGAAAATTCTAAAACTACCCTTTAAAAATAATTATAAATATATTTAATAATGAGAATAAAAGGGCATGTAAATTAATATATTTTGATTTGACTTCAAAGCAATAACTACATGTCCCACTAAAAAGTTAGAATCCCTAAAAGGGACTATTATTGTGGGATAGATGGAGTATTAAATACATGCTAACTTTTTTGTTTTTGCTTTGTGTGTTAAAATATGAATCATTATTGAAGATTGATGTCAACTACAAATTTCTTGTTAATTATAAATAAATAAATAAAACTACTAGAACAAGTTTTGAGTTATTTTTCTTTTATTTCTTTGGGATTTGTATGTTTGAGAGATTCTATGTCAGTTGAGAGCGAATTTCTAACAAGTTTCTTACTTGGGAGCACGAAATTGCATTTTTGAGTAAAAAACATCACCCAAGTATGAGTATCTTGCCACTAAGGGTGATCCTCAGTGAGGGTCATAGCATCGCTCGAGTACTAACCCCAAGGGAAAGGAACCCAAGCACAAGCACACCCACACCCACAAAAGGATGTTTAAAAATAAATAAATAAAAATAGAAGGTGAAATTCTACCCCACGCTGACTTGGTTTCTGAGTTGTCTTGGAGAGTACTGCTGAAAACTCATAGAAACCTTCTTAGACCAATGCTTACCCAACATATATACCTAATTCTTATCATCAAAGCTATTGGAAGTCCTAAAAGAAAGAAAATACAGCAACATTAAATCAAAAACTCCTAACAAGACTAACTACTACTTAATACTAGCAACATTAAATTAAAGGGCATGCAAGGTCAAAACAAATTACAAAACAAAACCATAAATTTACAAGAAGAATGAGAATTGAATATCTCCTAACAGCAATAGAAGGAATTCAACCCACTAATGGCAATTTAACCATCAAGCTCAAAAACATTAAGAGGACAAAATGCTTAAAAAATGAGATTATTCAAGGCACTTTAATCAAAATTGACAAGCTAAACTAGGTATGTAATTCTATTGTATCCACATTAACTGCCAATAATTTTGGCCATGAGAGAAACACCTTCCACTTCAATACATGACCATTATAAGAACATATCCAACTCAAATTTATCCAGGAAAAGTCCATAGAGTCCAATTCCCAAATGATCCATTAGTTATACAAGATTGAAGAATCTAACTGCAATGCCTCTCTAACGGTTGTCATGGTCAACAAGGCCGAGGAGCGTTCAACATAGGCACACAAGGCCCCCCAAAACAAAAACACAAGAACAAGCCTACACAATTGTATACTCATCTGCATGTAGGTATATATGCAACCGTATTTTAAAAATAAGTAGTGATGTATACATGTACTTATTTGTGTTACATCTTTCTTTTTTTTTCTTCTTTTTTTTTTTCCTAGCATTATCTATAAGTGGACTTTGCTCTAATTTTGAAGTGGAACAACAGCAGACTAGGAATCTGCGTCTCCATTTGAAGACGAAAAAGAAAATGGATAAAATTAAGAAGAGTTGTGGTTCAAGCCTTAGATCTGGTGTCAGTGATTAAAAAAAAAAAAAAAACAGAAGCAAGAAAAGATCCATTGTAATCTGACTAAGGCCCAGCAGCAATGGTATTGTTTGTAACATCTCCAATGCTGTGTCCCACTTTCTCTCTCCAACATTCTCTCCATCTCCATCGCCACCTCCATTACCTCCTTCCTCTTTGATTGGAAGCAATAGTAAAGCCTGCTTAGCTTTTAGTTTCCATTTTCCTCAGTGCTGAAGGTCTACAAGATGCAGGAGTACAAGTCCAAGCTCATATCAACAAATGTCGACAAGCATGTCCATGTGGACACTGGTCCACAAAAGCTCCACCTATCTTAGGATTAAGTCTATGAATCATAAAATTTCCTATATATTTTAGCAAGAATACCATTTTTTAGCATAGAACTGGAATAACATCTCCAATGTGTTGTATGCATGTAGAAGCATCAACAGCACTTCAGCACATTAAAGTGAAACACTAAAATTGACATAACCTGAAAGATTGCATTGCTGAGATTCTATGGACAACACGCACCTCCCAAGTTTGCTGCTGCAAATTTCAAGCAGATAGCCTTCAGCTGTGGACACTGGTGTTGTGCGGCAAGAGGAAGAGTTGTTGCCACTGTATCAACACTTATTTCTTCACACAATTTTGCTTCACACAACAGTTTCAGTCTATCTAAGCCAAAGCGGTCGGCAGCAGCCAACAAATGTTGCACCATACTGGTGGAAGTGCACATTGATGTTGAGTCTGTAATTTCATGTACATTAGGAAGCTTATCCGAGTAAATAAAAAGAAGCATGGCCTGCAAAACATATAAAGGGCCAATCTAAGTCAACTCTAAGCACAGTAATGCAAAACTTAGAAACATAAGTATATTCACCCCTAAGAGACGGGTACCAGAGCAATTACTGGGAAGAAAGATTTGACTAACCAATCTACACCTCTTGGACCATGAAAACAATGCAATAGTGTAGTAGATAGTATCAAGTTGCTTAAACATGTTCAGAGTGCAATTCATTTAATTTAATTTTAATGCATAAAACAGAACCATATTATGCGTCATCTCATGGAAGTACATGACAAAGAATTATCTTTTAAGGTAATATAATATGAAGTATGAACACATAATACATCTATGTAACTAGAATTTGAGTTGGTAATGATAACAAACAAATATTTACGCATATATTTAGAAAACTCCTATAGTTCGATGCAATGGATTGCATAAAACTATATCAAAGCATTGTATATGATGATAATCTAATGCCCGGTAACCATAAACCTATGCTCTTCGTGCTTTTTTTTATTTCTTCCAAGGGTGATTATTGTGAAGCAACATGATTGAAGGACCAATACCTTGAAGATGGAAGGTTCAAGATCCTGCAATTCTACTTTATCCATGTTTGGATTTCCCATAAGTCCATAAAATTGGGCTCTAAACACAGGAGAGCGAGCAGCAAGTATCAACTTATGAGCTTTGAACATTTCATCGCCAACCTGAAAAGCTATATCGCAACCAACTTCAGACTCCAGCATGTACTTCAGTTCATGGCCCATATCTGAAGGTGGTACATGAATGCTATATTCTTTGAGTCCCTCCAGACGAGTTCTAACAACTCCCACAGTGCAATGCATTTCAAGGCAATCATCCTTTATATAATCAGAAGTTTCTAAAATGGTTCTCCTGAAAAAACGCTTGTAACCCCTGAAATACATGTAATCAATTCATATCAGCGATAAAAGGGTCGTAATAAAATAAAGGTTATTTTCTTTATCATCTACGAATGATTAAAATGCATTAGAATTGTCAATACCAGACATTTGTTGGATTTCCAAATTTCCAATGCAACTTCTACATATAGCCATCAAGTTATGCATCAAAGAAAAAATCATTATCAAATGTTCGGAAGACCAATAATTATACCCAATCCACAACTAACATATAAAATTGAAGAAAATACAAATTCTACCTAATTTATTTATTTTTTTCCTCAATTCATTCAAAACATGGTAGACAAAGATTAGGCAGGTCTATCAAGTAAAATTCAAATTCATTTGACCTGTCAAGTAAATTGTCTATAACTCAATGCATTTCTGAGTCAATTTCCTAGAGCATCAACATTCCAACTAAAAATTCACATTACATATAACCCCCAATATAGGTCATGGTAGCTGGAATTCAAATTATGGCTGCATTGGATTAACCAATCCCAATAATTTGGACAAACTCAAATCAATACGAAAGTATACAATTTCAAAAGGAAAAGGAACAATCTTTCTATCAAAACAGCACGAAATATATCAAATCAAGTAATTAACCATCATTTCCAAATTCCAATCCCAATTAAAACACACTAAAACACAGCAAAACATATAAGTTTGCACAAAAACTAACCACATGCTTCCTCTATACTTGAGAGTATAAGGACCACTCTCCAACGCACGATCAAAGTGACTATGAACTTTGTGCTTCCCTTTCCCACTCTGATCCAACAAAGTGAGCTCAAACAATGCCCTCACATCAGTCCCTTCGCTCGCCAAAGCGATGAACACAGACACATACATTGAACCATCTTCAATGTTCTTCCCATCAGGATAGAAGTAAATTGCCCATTCGTATCCACCAACTGTAAACGTATCGCTCGATATGTACCTCCCAGAACCCATTCCTTTCGCAAGCGAGTACCCCTTGATCGTGAAATTGTGCGAGCCATTCACCGTCTCGCTGATCGACTTCGAGCATGAGTTTTCGAAATCGTAATCGTAATCGTAATCGTAGTCGTAGTCGTAGTCGTAATCGTAGACTAACATGGTTTCATGGAAGTGAAGTGAAAAACCCTAACCCTAACAGGACACAACTTGAATTCGCTTGAATTGGGAAAAACAGGGCTTGATTGGGGGTGTTTCGCGGGCGAGAAAGGACCAAGAAAATGGACGAAAGGGGGACAAGAAATAATTCAGTCAAGGTTTAAATATACTTTTATAGTTGACAAGTCAAGTTTATAGAATCCTCGCTTTCCCGAATCTCTGATTGTTCAAAACGACGTCGTTTTTTGCAGTAATTTTTTTTTTTTTTTTTTTTCCTTATGCAGTTTGAACAGAGGGAGAGAAGAAGAGAGGGGAAGAGAAAGAGAATGAGAGAAAGAGAAGAGAGAGGAAGAGGGAATGGAGAGAGTGTCAATCGCCAATCACCGATTGCCGCCGTCGCCTCCGATCGCCGATTTCCTTAGCTACTTTTTTTTTTTTTCAAATCGAAGCCCGATTTTATTTTATTTTTCTGAAAATGTGATGATGATGATGATGGCGATGTTGATGAAAATGTTGTTGTTGATGATGAATGGTTGTTGATGTTGTTGATGATGTGGTTGAATGGTTGTTGATGAAGATCTGAAGATGATAATGATGATGTTGTTGATGATGATTTTCTCTCTCTGTCTCTCCGTTACTCTCATCTTCCTCTTCATCTTCATCTTCCTCCTTCTTCTTCTTCTTTCTTCTTCTACGTTATTGAAAAAAAAAAAAAAAATCAAAACGAAACGACGTCGTTTTGAATTCAGGGGATTCGGGGAATGGAGGATTCGAGCTATGTAACATAACTGAATTTATAATTCTCTCTCTTTTTTTTCTTTTTAATAAATTACATACAGGTTAAGTATAAATTGGCGTATGTTATGTGTTAATATTGAAATTATTAAACATAACCCTTTTAAAAAAATTCGTAATAAATTTTTTTCAAACGTAACACTTTAATATAACACATTAAAAAAAAATTCTTAATATATTTTTTTCAAACATAATAATGTAGCATTCAAAAAAAATTTCTTACGTTGTGTTTGGATAAGAATTTGAGAAGAGATTTAAAAACGAAAAAGGAAAAGGTAACTGAAATGTAAATAACATATACTTACATTTTATTTAATTTCACACCCATTTTTCTTCCTTTTTTTTTCAAATCTCTCAACCAACCACAGTGTTAGTGTACTTTTCCCAAACGTAACACTTCAATCAACAGGGGTGTTTAGTGTTGATTATAGAGGGTGACTATGCCTTATTTTAATTTGGGAATCTGTGCCAAACTGTTTTGTGCAACTTCTGCTTATAACATTTTAGGCAGAAATAGCTTAAATAAGTTGAGAAAAATTGATTATTTAGAAACTGGGAAAGGGGTGCGTTTAATTTATACTTTCTGATTATCAACTTTTAACTTATAATAAGCTGAACCAAACAACACCAATGTAACACATAAAAACTTCTTAGTGTACTTTTCTCAAACGTAACACTCAAATAGCCACAAAAAGACAAAATAGACTTTTTAACCCAATAAAAATAAAATGTTACATCTAAACTATACTCATTTCATTTTTTCTCTCACAAAAGTCAAAAAAATCAAAAAGCCTATTTCAAACGAGACTTTTTAACCCCAGGCTAAAATAGTCAAAAAGCAACCCATATCTCAATTGAAGCCTTAGTGTCTTTTTCTCAAACATAACAACATAACATTCTAAAAAAATAACACTCCAATGTAACAAAATTTCTTAATGTACTTTTTCATACATAACACTCCAATCAATGTAATATACAAAAACTTCTTAGTATTTTTTCTCAAACGTAACACTCCAATGCAATACACTAAAAAATTTATTAGTATACTTTTCTCAAACGTAAATTTCAATGTAGCATACAAAAACTCTTTAGTGTACTTTTCCCAAACGTAATACTTTAATCAATGTAATACAAAAAAATTTTAGTGTATTTTTTCTAAACGTAATACTCTAATATAATAAATTAAAAAATTTCTTAGCATATTTTTTTTAAAAGCAATAATGTAATATTTCAAAAAAGCTCTACAATGTATTTTTTCTAAACATAACACTCCAACACAAAAATTCGTTACTATACTTTTTCCAAATGTAATATTCTAATGTAACACCAAAAAATCACACTAACAAAATTGTAGATTTCCACACTCAATAACCAATACTTCAGCCACTAATCCCTAACAAAATATTCCACGCCTCAAGTTTCCATTTCCATCCAAAAAATGAATCACAACAAGGTATTTACTTAAACTTAAATGACACTAAATCAAATGAATACAACTTTTCAAAACAAAAAGGACTAATTAGTTTATAAAAAAACTCTTAGAATTAAATGGGTCAATATTATCTCATATGCGATATATAGGTAAATTTTTGTTTAATAATTTGTTAATTGACTTTATATGTATTTGTGGAAAAATTAAGGGTCTTTATTAATTAAATTTTATTTAAAAAATTAATTAATTGAATTTAAATAATTTTAAAATTTATTGAATTATTATATTCAAACAATTTATTGGTCAACTCTCAATTCAATTTATTTATGGGACTAGTTCGATGGATTTATATTTATTTGTTTTTAAATGATTTCAAACAATGCACTATTATTATAGTATTATGTTAATTAATTGTCAAATTAAGTTGAATGGGACTATAAATATAATGGGATTGTGTAATAAAATTATTAGTGTGATTTTACATAGTATTTTCACCATTGATCTGGTGAAATTAGATATATGCTTTTTATTTTACAACCATAAATAACCATCAATGTTGAGGTTTTGTTTTAGAGAAAATTAAGTCTCTCTCATTTTTAGTAATAGATGAAATCTATAATACTATTTTGTGATGTATAAAATCCCTCAACCTCACACACATATATCACAAAGAAATTTATTATACTCTTTCCTTGTAAATATATGTCTGTCATTTCCAACCAAACAAACAAGATCCACTTCTAAACCCCTATGAAAGCGATAAGAGAGAGAAGCATAAGAGAAGTGCGAAACAAATCCCTCTCTTCGATTTGTCTTTTCCACACACTACACACAAATATACGTGTATCTATATATATATATATACAGTGATACGCATATCAATCAACCAAATTGCCATCAACATCAGGCATGATCTCCCTTTCTAAGACTATCTCTCTTTTCAGCATCGTCTTCTCTTTCTCTTTATATAGCTTTCTCTAGATTGTGATTACAATTGCTATGAAATTTTCCTTTTCTTCTTGTAATATGTCGCAATAGAGGTAAGTCATGTCCCCAATTTCTTCACTTCGAGAAATTTCAATTTTCTTTGAACAAAGTTAGAGAAATTTCAATTTTCTCTGATTTGAACCCAGAGTAATTGACTGCACATAATGGGGCAAATTTTTCTAGTTTTGAGAGAATCTATCTGGGAAATCTAGAGAAATTCTTTGAATCAAATTTTCTCTAGATCGATTTGAGAGACTTTACATATTATGAAAATATTTGATATCCTTTATGCTATAAAATCTTAATACCAGGGGCCCTAAAAAAAATCCCCTTTTGTTTTATAAGTATAAATAAACATAATTAGTTGGATTAAATTTTGGTAACCATAATTAATACAATATGACCTTGAAGGGTTTTTGCCCAAAAAAAAAGAAGATATTTTCAAGTTGATATTGCATTAATCCATTTATAGGTTTTACATATTTTTCAACACTAATAATAGTCCTAACGGCTTTTTTAACATTTTTGTTCATTTAATACCAAAAATAATGTGATTTTTTTTACAATAAAAATAATGTGATTTACTGAGGAGCATATTAATTAATTATAACTTTTTTTTAGTATTCAAATTACTTAGAATACTATCAAATAAAAAAAAATCATTTTATCTCTTTTTTTATGTTTTATTAAAATAAAAAAATAAAAAAAAAAACTCAAGTGAGAGGTCAATTTCTAAAACTGCAGGACTAATAGGCTAGAAATTAATCTTTTGGGATAAAAAGAACATTATTTGTCTAAAAAAAACATATTATCTGTCCAAAATTTTAATTATATGTTCAAATGTCACTTATCTGTTTAAATATATCTATATGTACACATGTTACATATCTATTCAAATATTTAACTATTTGTTCAAATTAGGGCTGGACATTCACCGGACCAGGCCGACGCTACATAATAAGGGATTTGGTGTATGTCCAAAGGTTGCCCGACCCTAATATTGAGCCTCTATATCTATCAAAGTCTGGTTCAAAAAATAATTATAAATCTCAATCCCGCCCATCGAACTATATGTATTTTTTTTAATACATTTCATAATTAAATTCAATTACACATTATATTTTTTAAATAAATATAGTGATATCATTATAAATTGAAGGGTTTTGTGTATAAATTGAATGATTTCTTAAATAAATTCAATCACACATCATTACAAATGTGAGTTTCAATCTAATCAACAAAGACGAAGTCTAGACCCTAGTAAAAAATATATTTTTATATATTATAATTAATTATTTAATTTAATAACAGGCTGGGATGAGTTAGGTTGAAAGTATAAATCCAAACCCATCCCATTAATATATTAGGCTGAAAATGTTGGCTCGGTCCGTCCCTATGAACTAAAATAACATTTTCAAATCTTAAAAAAATAGGGTTAGGCAGAGCGAATTGGGCGGGCCAACACCCCTAGTTCAAATGTGTACATGTGTCACCTATTTATTTAATTATCTATTCAACTATTTTGCTATCAATTGCTATCATTAGTCGCCACCACTACCCACCAATTGCCAATAACATTTCAAAGTATGTGTAGCGATCCTAATTTTTCGTAGGTCATTATTTATTTGTTATTATTTTATTTTATGTTTGGCTTGATTAATTGTGTAGATCCATGAGAATTTAATGTGGTATTTAATTAATTTAATGTGTTATTTAATTATGGGTAATTAATCCGAATATTGATATATTTATATTGTTTAAAAAAAAAGTGTTTATATATTGATAAAGTATATATCACATTTATATTTATATATATTGTATTTATGTTGTGTTTTTATAATATAATGTTAATGGGTTATCATATATTAAACCTAGGTTATTATAATCATAAAGTGTCTGTGAAGTTTTCCAAGAAGGACACAGCAGCCGAGAAAGAGAGAGCGAGA